AAAAGCCACCCCTTCCCCCCCCCCCACCAACACACACACACACACACACACACACACACACGTCTGCTTGGTGAGCCAGCTGCAGGGTGGCACAGCCTGCCCAGAGGCTTTCTCTGACAGAAACTGACTCGGCCCCTTGCAAGCCCGTGTCTTCCTTTTATGGCCTTCACTCTTGCCCTGTGCCCCACTGTGGGTGGAGCAGCGTCTGGCAGATGATCAGGGCTGCCTGACCCAACAGGTTAAGAAAAGCACACAAGTCTGTGAGGACCAGTTCGTCAGCCAGCAGTCTCCCTTTGTGGAAGGTGAGGCACCATCCTTGAGACACTCAACCTAGTAGAAAAAGAATTTCTGAAACCTAGACCGTAAGCTCGATTCCCTGAAGTGGGGGTGACCTGGAGCTAAACCACAGGGCAAAGAGACTTCTTTTTCCTCCTGAAGAGTGAGCATCACTCTCATCTGAATGGCTTCTTGACCCAGAGAACTCTAAAGAACACCAGGCCTCCTTTATTTCAGCAGGTCTTGTTCTTGGAATTTGGGTCTGCATTTCCAGTCACCCAGCACTGCATGCCTCCCATGTTAATGACCTTTCTGCATCCATCCATGTAAAGTTGGTAGTGCAGTCCTGCATCCAGCATCCTCAGCTGTGTCCCTGAGCTGTGAAGCTGAATTTCTGTGCCAACTGACAAACACACACCGAGTGCCTACTCTGGGGGAGCCTCTGTGACTGTTCCAGACCGAAGATGACGAAGTTCCAAGTGCACAGTGCACAAAAAGTACTCACCTCATGCCCACTGGCTTGATCTCAGCAGTTAAGCAAAATCAACAGAAGGGGATTTTCGCTTTATTTAGTTTGATGGCTTCCTTTCTTCCAGCTTATAGACTATTATCTGCTTCTAAGTTGCTATATATCAGTATAAAATAGTGTATTATTCCAGTAAGTGCCGATGCGGTTGTTAGATGCTGCCACTGAAGTCAGTGCTCACTGATTTCTGTCTTGTTGGCTGGCTGCTTGAGTCACCGATGGGCACAGCCAGAGCTATAACCAGTCTGTGAGGATTGATTTGTGACTTGTATCTTCATATGTGGTTTATAAGGTCTGCCAGATTGGTTAATAGTCACAACCAGCATGTCCTAAGTAAAATGAAACTATACGAACAAAAATCAGCTCTCATTCCACTGCTAGACTTTGGTGTTTTCTTTAAGAAGTAGACTTGTTAATGCTTAGTTTTGCCTTGGGGGCCTTAATGTGTTATTAACTGCATGGAAATACCCTTCATTTAAAAAAACATATTTTACTACTTCATATTCAAGTTAGTATCCATCTGGATATTTTAGCAAAGTTTGACATTTCGAAGATAAATTTTCGTCTTCTTGTAATGTTTCTTGGGCTGGCTTTACTGCCTTTAATCTAAAACTCAGTACAGTTCACTGGGCTGTTTGGTAACAGGATAACCTGGGCATAATTAGGTGCTTGATTGACAGAGGGGTTATCAGTACCAGAAGGCAGGTTCAGTTTTAACCCAACTGTTTCCAGTTGATCCTTTTTTTCTCCACCATTATTCACTCTCTCTCAAGTGTTACCACTGTGAGCTATTGAACAGAGGTTTGTATGCAGTGCAGAGCCCTGTCGCAGTGCCCCAGCAAGCTTCTTGTTGTGTCTGGCAGCACCTTTAACCTCTAAATTGTGCTCCAGGATCTGCTATTGGTCCATGCTTACAGGAGGAACAGTTGCATAAATTTCCTATTGCGTTTGATTTGTGGGCTTAGGACTCAGTTGCTTATTTCATATATTATCTCCTTTTTCAGTCCCTCAAGGTAACATTTTCCCAACTTCTCTAATGAATGATTACATTTCTGAGTAGATGATCTATTTTTATCTTAACAGTATATTTATAATTCCTTCTTTGCATCGACTAATCTGATTAGTAGTTCAGAACCCAATTTGCAGATTACCTGTAACAAAATGTGAAGAACTGTGTTGTCAAGTAGAAATACTTAACGCATATGTAATTTGAACTTTTCTAATACCACCTTAAAAACTATAAAAAGGGGAGGAAATGGAAAACTAGCAAAAAAAAAATTTTTTTTTGAGACAGAGTCTCACTCTGATGCCAAGGCTGGAGTGCAATGGCACAATCTCAGCTCATTGCAACCTCCACTTCCCGGGTTCTAGTGATTCTTGTGCCTCAGCCTCCTGAGTAGCTGGGACTACAGGCACACACCACCACACTGGCTAGTTTTTGTATTTTTAGTAGAGACGTAGTGTCACCATGTTGGCCAGACTGGTCTGGAACTCCTGACCTCAAGTGATCCATCTACCTCAGCCTCCCAAAGTGCTGGGATTATAATCATGAGCCACCATGCCCAGCCTAACATTTTAATCATTATATTTAATGCAGTATACCTAAAATACTACTTTAGTCAACTCCCAAAATATGTCTCAGTTATATCAATAAAAAAACCACTTAATATAAAAAATATTACAGTCCCGTTTTGTACTGTCTTCATTTCAGACTAACCCTGTTCAAATTGAGGTGCTCCCCCGATGTGGCGATGGCTGCCAGATGCTAGTGTGCAGGGCAGTGAGAACTGATAGCCTCCCGAGGGTACGAGCCTTCACTTGGCCTTAATTTCTTTCTTCATCCCGTATTTTCCCTTCTTAACATTCTCACTTGTGCACATACCGCAAGATCAAAACATGTATCTTTGTAAGCCACTCTGAAGGAAACCATTTTGAAACAAAATACTGCATACATGAATAAAAGTGTTTTTTCCAAAGGAATCTCTTGAAGGGCTGGATGGATGTGCAAATGCAGGCACACTGGTTTGTAGGATGCCAGGAAAAGGGAGGGAATTTTTTTTTTTTTCTATTTTCTGTTATTTTGTGCGGGGCCAGGCTGCTTATTCATTTTTCTTGAAGAAATTCAGGAGGAGAGGAAGACACAGTGTTGAAAACCGGAGCCTCCCACAGTTAATTTGAAGTTTTTTTTTTTTTTAGAGAGGATTTCAGGTTTGTTAGGAATCGGCCTAAATTGACTGGTGTCCCAGATTTCTAACTTGGTGACCTGACACTTGGGGGGAGTTTCATTCTAAATGCACATGAGAATTAATTGAAGGGTCCCACCCATCACTTAACCTGCCACCTGCTAGACAGTATGTGGGCTTCCTCCTGAACCCACAGCCATGGGAAGGAGGCCGTCAAGAAGTCTGCACGTCAGACTCCTTAGAAAGCTGGTATATGTGCTAACAAGTGAGGCACAAGAACACAAGAAAGACTTTCATCATGGAGAATTCTGTATTTTTTTTTTTTTTTTTTTTTTTTTACTTTTTTTTTTTTTTGAGATGGAGTTTCGCTCTCGTTACCCAGGCTGGAGTGCAATGGCGCAATCTCGGCTCACCGCATCCTCCACCTCCTAGGTTCAGGCAATTCTCCTGCCTCAGCCTCCAGAGTAGCTGGGATTACAGGCACGCGCCACCATGCCCAGCTTATTTTTTGTATTTTTAGTAGAGACGGGGTTTCACCATGTTGACCAGGATGGTCTCGATCTCTTGACCTCGTGATTCACCCGCCTTGGCCTCCCAAAGTGCTGGGATTACAGGCGTGAGCCACTGCGCCCGGCGAGAATTCTGTATTGTTTTAATGATTTAATGTATTTACCACTTTACTTAGTATAAATGGATGCTTTAGAGGAGCTTAAATTCTTTTTTTTTTTTTTTTGAGTCAGAGTTTCGCTCTTGTTGCCCAGGCTGGAGTGCAATGGCGCGATCTCGGCTCACCGCAACCTCCGCCTCCTGGGTTCAGGCAATTCTCCTGCCTCAGCCTCCTGAGTAGCTGGGATTACAGGCACACGCCACCATGCCCAGCTAATTTTTACTATTTTTAGTAGAGACGGCGTTTCACCATGTTGACCAGGATGGTCTCGATCTCTTGACCTCGTGATCCACCCGCCTCGGCCTTCCAAACTGCTGGGATTACAGGCTTGAGCCACCGCGCCCGGCCTTTTTTTTTTTTTTTTTTAACTCTACTTTCAAACTAACAAGTTAGAGGTACTTAAATTGTGACAGATTCTCTTTTCCTTACTCCACTAAAGTATGTACAGTCTTTTCACAGTTTTTTTAAAAATAAAAATATGTTTCTGTATATGGAGAGATATAAAGACAATATTAAAAAGTAAGTTAATTAAATCAGTGGAGGGGAAAACATGTTAGCCAGAATCCCAGAGCAACTATTTCTGTTGTTGTTCTATGTCTTTGTCGTCCTTTCTGTAAAATATCCAGGGGATTTTGTAGACTGTTTCCTTTCACCGTTATTCTTATTTTTCAGTAGAAAATAAAGTAAGCTTCAAATAGTTCATTCTGAATTTTATGCAAACAATAAACTGGTGGGTATAAGTGGATGGTTCTTTTGAAAGAAGTTGGAGGAACCCTCATAAAAAATCGTTTCTGTATTGCTTGATGTAAATATGCGTGTTTCATGGATCTTTTACATTTAGAAAAACATCAGTGGTGTATTGAAGCCTACTTACTCGGATTGTCTGTTACTTTAGACATCTTCCTTTTCCTGCATGGGAGGAATAGTTTTTCTCCATGGAAAAAAAAAAATCTGTCTCAATAGAAATCACATCAAATCTACATCGTCTTCTGCCCGCTCCCCATGTCTGTCTCTCTGTCTCTCTGTCTCTCTGTCTCTCTGTCTCTCTCTCTCTCTCTCACACACACACACACACACACACACACACACACACACACACGGGAAGTACATTGTCCTCTGCCCACTCCCCATCTCTCTCTCTCTCTCTCTCTCCCCACCCCCCCCTCTCTCTCTCACACACACACACACACACACACACACACACACACGGTAAGTACTAATAAGGTTGCTGTGCATAGAGAGATGTCTCCAAAGGTTGACTACCCTCTTTCCTTTTTCTATATTTTCTATTTTGTCTGTACAATTATGTTTGTAACAGTTTGCTTTGCTGATTATACTATGATAACAGGGTGAAGCAGAAAGAGACTGTGATAACAAGAAAATCAGACTAGAGAAGGAAATCAAACCACAGTCCTCTTCATCTTCATCGTCCCACAAAGAACCTTCTAAAACAAAGTGAGTATAGAGATGAGCAACCACGTGATCTCTACAGTGATCAAGTCTTCTTGGGTCTTGACACAGCAAAGAAATTTTTCTTCTGCAGTAGAATCAGTGGATTAATAAACTCAGGCTCATTTGGATGATATATTAAGTTTGTTTTTGTTTCTTTCATCCATGAGGACCTTACAGGAATTAACAGTTCATATGGCAGCAGATTTAGATTTATCAGAAACATTTTCACTATGGACAATTTCTTTAAACATCTGGATTTTTTTTTTCCCCTAAGGGAAGATAAAGGTACCATTATTTTTACTTTGCAGAATTGGAAACAAACACACACAGAGAAAATGACTTGTTCAAAGTCAAATAATTCTTCCTGAGTGTTGGAGCTAGCATTTGGACTTTGGGAGCCTGGCTTCAGTGCGCTCCCTCTTTTAGAGATGACTAAGAATCTGTAGGGCCACTCGGTGTCTGTTGCTGGGAAGATGGATGGCAGGTGGTAGTGCCAGGAAGACATAACTATAACAAGCAACTATTATTTAACTCTGATTTACTCAAGAAATTACTTCAAAAAACGTGTTGGCAAAAACAAGTGCATAGCATCACCATGTAGAAACCGACAGATGGGGAAGGCTCAGATGTGGAGGGTGCACCTGCGCTCGCCTCCTTGTCAGGAAAGGCACGGGTTGGGAAGCAGCTGAAGCAAGCATTAGAAATGGCTGGGGAAAGTCAGGACCATTGGCAGACTCTACAAGCTTAGTGAAAAATTATGCACCTTCATTTAGCGCTAATGGATTGGGCAAGATTTTTGAAAGTCCCTGAAATCTGGCCTTTTTACAACGCGGTTTCATGCTTTGTGATACCCTAATCTTTTGTGCCAGCAGCCAGTTTGTCACTAAACAATGAAGCTGCGTGATGTGTGCTTTGCTTCCCCTTAGTTTTACATGGTGTTTCACTCTAGGAGCTCCAGGCCCTCCTCAGAGTCCTCAAAGAAGGAAATGCTTCCCCCGCCACCTGTGTCCGCGACCTCCCAGAAGCCAGCCAAGCCTGCACACAAGAGGTCAAGGCGGGAGGCAGACAACTGTAGCCAGGACCCTCCCAAAAGTGCCAGCAGTACCAAGAGCAGCCACAAAGACTCTTCCATCCCCAAGCACAGAAGAGTGGAGGGGAAGGGCTCCAGAAGCTCCTCGGAGCACAAGGTGAGCAGGGCGGCAGTCATTGCGTACGTCGGGATGCATTGCTGTACCTTGACCTTCCCAAAGAAGACAAGGTCCTGATGATGGCACTTCAGAACTGTCCATTGCTTTTAATAAGGCAATTGTTTGTGTTTAAAATGCTACTTTTTGGAGGAGGGAAAAAGGTAGTTAATACACAAAGATTTAGGTGTCGAGTTACTCTTCTTACAGTGATTTCAGAGGTGAAAAATCAAAATAGATTTTTGTGCTAATGTTTGGTTGGGTGTTTTGCAGTAAGAAATGGTTACCCTGTGTAGTTCTGCTTTGAATGTTTGATGGCAGATACTTTGATTCTTGGTTATAATGGGGAAAAAATGAGCCACTTTCTCAAGTAAAAGTTCCTCACTTCCTGTTAATCTGGGTGGAGTGGGATGGTGTGTGTGAATTGACTAGGAGAAAATGTTATGTGTGGCTTTGTGAGTTCTCTGATCTCTTAGACATTCTTGTCTTGTCTTTTTGAGTCTCCAGTAAAATCAGAATCAACACTTCATTTGAATCTGTAGCTGACAAAGTGTTTAACCAGGCTAGATTGTGCAATGTTTGATTTAATCTTTTTAGAAACCAGTATTTTGGGCTGTGTAAGAGGGATGAAACTTTTAAGACAATGGTCTTAAATGTTAGAATGTAAGCTGTATATTGATTTTTTTTTTTTTTAAGGGTTCTTCCGGAGATACTGCAAATCCTTTTTCAGTGCCTTCTTTGCCAAATGGTAACTCTAAACCAGGGAAACCTCAAGTGAAGTTTGACAAGTAAGACTTCAGATGCTTTCTTCTTGCTTTTTTTCTTTTTTGTGGGGGGAAATAGAGTTTCAGTCTGTCACCCTGGCTGGAGTGCAGTGGCACAATCTCTGCTCACTGCAACCTTCATCTCCCGGGTTCAAGTGATTCTCCAGCCTCAGCTTCTCAAGTAGCTGGGACTACAGGCATGAGCCACCATGCCTGGCTGTTTTTGTATTTTTAGTAGAGACAAGGTTTCACCATGTTGGTCAGGCTGGCCTTGAATTCCTGACCTCAAATGATCCGCCCTCCTCAGCCTCCCAAAGTGCTGGGATTACGGGCATGAGCCACTGCACCCAGCCACTTCTTGCTCTTTCTTCTTCCATTTCCTCCTCCCCTCCTTATTTCTACTTCTCCTCCTTGCTTACCCTCTCCCCTCTTCTTGTCCTCCCATCGTTTTTCACTATTGGTCTTAATCTTGCTCTTGTCTAGTAATTTTCAGCTCATTTGACCTGTCCCTGGTTTTTCTTCTTCTTTTTCAGACAACAAGCAGACCTTCACATGAGGGAGTCAAAAAAGTTGAAGCAGAAAGCAGAGTTAATGGTTCGTATTAGCTCTTCATCCCTTCTGTAGACTGTTTGCTGATGGTGAAAAAATTTTGGGTAGTCTCCATTCTGCCATACTCCATGTCACTCAGTGTATTTGCAGTGGAAGGTGGTGTATGCAGCAGGCACTGGAGAAGAGAGTGTGTGGGCCCTGCCACTGATCACAACAGACACATGCAGCAAAATCAGGACCTTAATGATTAAGGAGTAGGTGGTTCTTGGTGGTGTTATTTTCTTTGGCTCCATTGATTCAGTCTGATCATGGGCAAATACACAAAGGACCTAGTCACAAGTTCTATATCTAAGTAAGTGAAAGTTAATCTACCTGCTGGTGGTTTAATGCATGGGTGCTTTTTTATTCCACTGTATCAATTCTTCGCTGTGAAAAATGAGTCCTGGTACTGAAACTCTGTCAATGTGTGTTTGCTGTAAAACATTTCTCAAGGCAAGGAAGCCTGTTTACATTCCAAAATTATCTTAAAGCCTTGAGAGGCTGACCTGAAGGAAGAGCTGAGCTAGGCTATTAGATGGCATTTTAAGATCAAGGTAATGATTACACTGTTGGTAAACATGCTTTAAAGATGTGAATTCTCTTTACCTTTTGGCTTTTGGACTTTCTGAAAGGTGGTGGTTTTGTGGTTGTGAATGTAATTATGCTTTTACATCTCTACTGCAGTAAATATAAGGAGATAATGTTTGCCCTTTGTCATAAATATCCAAGACTCCGGCTTTTGCTTACGTAGTGAGTCCCCAGACCTAAATCCCCACAAGTGCGAAAATGCAAAAACCTCACTGGAAAGCCATCTGTTAAACTTTGTTACACAGAGGAAGGGCATGAGTTGCTTTTTTTGGTCCACGTGCAAACCTAACCACACATTTCAGAGACCCATAGTGGTCTGAATTAGATTGATTCATGGTGCTTGCAAGATCCTGGCCTGGTCCTCTTCAACCCTAATCGTTAGACCTGTATCTCTTCTGAGACCCATTCACCATTTCATGCTGAATTCTGTAAGACAGTCAAAGACAAACCTCTCTAGCCCTGTCCCTAAAGCTGCCTTATACCTAAAGCTACCCTAAAAGCTACTCTATACCTATACCCTATGTCCTATAAATTTAGGTGACCTAGGTCAGATTAAGAATCTGAGATTGTGCCAAGCAGTGGTTTCAGCAGCGTCCAATTTTCCAAGATTGTTACTGGAACTGTATGAATCTTCGGAGTTTTGGAAAGAGTGAATATTTAGCACTGTCGGCCAGTTACCTGAAACTTATTTTGACATTGGATACTTTCAGTACTGGACTCCTCATTATTCAAGGGAGTAATAGTCATACTCTGGGGAACTTTGTTTTTAATCTATTCATAAGCGTATCTTCTTTCTCCTTACCTAAGGTGACTGTACATCCCAGCATGCCAGGATAGTCCTGGTTTATGCCTGTTTCATCCCAGTTTGATAAATAATTATATCCTGCTTCACTCTTAAAACATGCCAGTTTGAACAATAAGCCCCTATGGCTACCCGCTGAATAATATTCTCCCTTAATTATATAATGTCTGAAAGATGTGCATTCCAGATAGTTATGTACCCAGCTGAGTAGAAAGGGGTGTATTACTTCTCCACATTACCTTCAACTGATGAGTAGGGAGATAACATGGAATCACAGAAATATGGACATTGTTAGCCTTACGATATACTTATCTCAAGGAAATGGATATTGACAAATTGCGATGTGATACTGTAGTTTAGTTTATTTCTAGCCTAAGGCCAATATTAATTTTGGAAATCCCATGAAAGAGATGGTGTTGAGTAAGTATATTTGGAGAATTCAGTTTCCATCAGTGAAGCAAACTGGTCATGCCAAATACTGCTCATTAATTGGGGAATACTCATTTGATTTTTGTTCTGTCACTAATCTGAGTCTGGATTCTCTGGAAAAATTATTTTTTTAATTAAGTTACTTATTTATTTATTTATTTTTAATTATTATTTTTTAAAGATGGGGTTTCACCATGTTGGTCAGGCTGGTCTTGAACTCCCAACCTCAGGTGATCTGCCTGCCTTGGCCTCCAAAGTGCTTGGATTATAGGCATGAGCCACTACGCACGGCCTATTTTATTTATTTTTAGACGGAGTCTCGCTCTGTTGCCCAGGCTAGAGTGCAGTGGCCCAATCTCAGCTCACTGCAATCCACCTTCTGGGTTCAAGCAATTCTTCTGCCTCAGCCTCCTGAGTAGCTGGGACTACAGGTGCTCGCCACCATGCCCAGCTAATTTTTGTATATTTAGTAGAGACGGGGTTTCACCATGTTGGTCAGGCTGGTCTTGAACTCCAGACCTCCTGGTCCACCTGCCTCAGCCTCCCAAAGTGCTGGTATTACAAGTGTGAGCCACCCTGCCTGGCCTTAAGTTACTTTTTTTAAAAATAAAATATTTTAGAATTGAATCTTCTGAAATATACATGTAAACATGCGTATAGCAGCCTAGTTGGTTCTGCTACTGGTCACATATGAGCACAGTATGCACTGAAGTAATTCTGCTGTCCCCTCACTGGGAGAAGCATTTCCGCCCCCTGTGGGGAGTGCAGCAGCATGACTCTGTAGCATAGTGGACCATACCCCTCGCATTGCCAGTGTGTCGCCAGCTCCTTATATTCCACTTCTATCTTTACTATTTTCTTTTCTTTTTTTTTTTTTTTTTTCTTTTTTTTTTTTTTTTTTTGAGACAGAGTCTCACTCTGTCACCCAGGCTGTAGTGCAGTGGCACCATCTTGGCTCACTGTAACCTCCGCCTCCCATGTTCAAGCAATTCTCCTGCCTCAGCCTCCCAAGTAGCTGGGATTACAGGCCTGTCACCACGCCTGGCTAATTTTTGTATTTTCAGTAAAAAAGGAGTTTTACTGTGTTGGCCAGGCTGGTCTCAAACTCCTGACCTCAAGTGATCCACTCGCCTCGGCCTCCCAAGTTGATGGAGGATTACACGCCTGAGCCACCATGCCCAGCCCCTATTTTCATTCTCTCTTTTTGAACATACCAAATACAAAGCAGCAATTAAAGCAATAATCAGTTGCTCTCAGTGTGCGTTACATACGCCACATGTAGAGAGAAAGACAGTTGCATCACACTCACCAGCTGCATTTGCTGTATGCCAGTTAGGAGGGTACTATGTGACAAAGTGTGTATTCAGGTGTAGGGTGACCACCAGTATCTGATTTTGTTCATATTTCTACATTCCCTCTAAGGGACTCTGAAATGTGAGCCCTGTTGGCCTGGGGGGATAGCTTTGTGCTATGTTCAAAGGAGGCTGATGTCAAAGGAGATTAATCTGTTGGGCTGTAAAATGCGTAAAACAATTATTGTTAGCTGTTAATATCTAAGATGCTTATAAACCATGATGAGTGTTTTCTACTTTCTAATAAACTTCACACACAAAGAAATATGTGTCTGCGTTACTCTAGATGTGAAGAATAATCTGTTTCTCAAGAAAGTTATATAATGAGTAATTGGACACTGATAACAAGGAGACTGTGTACTAACTGCCTTAGTCTGGATATGTGCTTTCATAAGGCTTTGAGAGCATGGTCTTAATGTGGGATTGTTTTCGTTTTCCTAATGAATTTTTGCTAAAAGAGTTTTCAGCAAGTCACAGCTGACAGGCTTTGGTTATCATTTTTAGTTCATTCATCCTCACACTTCTCCTCAGCCATAATTAAATTAAGACAGTGGAGGAAAGTCACACTAAAGAATGTGGGTGAGAAACTAAATAAAGGTTTGTCTTCAGCCTAACAATGACCATGTTCTTCTCCTGCAGACAGACAAGGTTGGAAAGGCTTTTAAGTACCTGGAAGCCGTCTTGTCCTTGATTGAGTGTGGAATTGCCATGGAGTCTGAAAGCCAGGCATCCAAGTCGGCTTACTCCGTCTACTCAGAAACTGTAGACCTCATTAAGTAAGTGCCAAGTCATTGTGCTTTCCTCTTAAGTACTTTTCTTTTCTTTCTTTCTTTCTTTTTTTTTTTTTTTTTGAGACAGTCTCACTCTGCCTCCCGGGCTGGAGTGAAATGGCACGATCTCGGCTCACTGCATGCAACCTCCACCTCCTGAGTTCAAGCAGTTCCCCTGCCTCGGCCTCCTGAGTAGCTGGGATTACAGGTGCTCGCCACCACGTCCAGCTGATTTTTGTATTTTTAGTAGAGACAGGGTCTCACCATGTTGCCCATTATGGTCTCGATCTGTTGACCTTGTAATCCTCCCGCCTTGACCTCCCAAAGTGCTGGGATTACAGGTGTGAGCCACCGTGCCCAGCCCCTCTTGAGTACTTTTCTTTCCTCACCTTTATTGTTTTAATCCATTTGAACCTTAGTGTGAAGATGGCTCAATTAAGGGAAGCCTTGAAAAAGTTACTTGTTCTAAACTAAAATTGTGTTCTAGATGAAGTACTAGCACAGAGTAACTGGATCTAAGTACATCATTTTGCTAAGTGCACCAAGAAGTGCCAGAGCTTTCAGGGAGAGGTTGGTTTTTCCAGTTGAGCTTTCTTATCAGATGACCTCTCCTCTCAGTTGAAGCCACTACTTTGTTAACTTACTACATTTCAGCAGGGGCTCAGTAAGGACACAACCTCACTTGGTTTCAAGAGGTAGACAATCCACAGAAGAGACATGTCCTCCCTCATTTTCTCAATGGCCTGGATAGTTGCTCTAAAATCTTAGTTTTTTAAAAAATGTTTTTCTTGTGATGCTCTCATCTCTTTACATCTTCAGGAAAAGTCCATATAAAATGGAAACAAGCACAATAAGTTGTAATGTGTCTGCCTTTGTTTAAAACCTGATGCACTTATTTTCCTATAGATTCATAATGTCATTAAAATCCTTCTCAGATGTCACAGCGCCAACACAAGAGAAAATATTTGCTGTTTTATGGTATGTATTTTCCTTTGTCTAAATGGTACCAAATTTGTTTTTGCATCTGTTGATGTTACAAAAATACTTTGAAATTTGTTTTCTTAATGTGAAAATTATGAAGAGTCAGTACTTTGGTCAAAGGGTTAACTCCCCACTGAGAGTTAATTATTACAAAATGGTATCTGCTGTTGATTGTCTGATTGGCAAATGCTTTGGTCCTGTGATATAAATGATATCCTTGTGTTTTCCGCCAGCATTTACTTTTGGGATAGTGTGAACAAAGCAGTAAGATTTTTTACATACTAACACATAGGTGAGGAAAAACCAGTGTGTTCACTAGGCTATAAAAAGTTAGATGGCTGCTTTTCTGTGGTATGATAGTCATGTGCACAGGGTAATATTTTACTTCTGCCTTTGTTCATAGCATGCGTTGCCAGTCCATTTTGAATATGGCGATGTTTCGTTGTAAAAAAGACATAGCAATAAAGTATTCTCGTACTCTGAATAAACACTTCGAGAGTTCTTCCAGAGTCGCCCAGGCACCTTCTCCATGCATTGCAAGGTAACTCTAAGTCTAAAATAAATAATTTCCAAAATAGAGTCATTTCTTTATTCTTGCTTTTTCAACACACATGCTTACATATGTGACTTTGCCTTTTCAAAAACTGTTGGCTTCCTCTGTGTGCCGATTGCTCCTAAACTTAAATTTTTAGCATATTTCTGCCTTTTTGAGGAACAGTTATAAATCAAAGTTTTGCTGAATAGAAAAGATAAAAAGGTAATTGCAAAGAATATAGAATTGAAATTTTTTGAGCTTTGAGGATTTTTTTTTTCTTTTGAGCGAGAGTCTTGTCTTGTCCCCCAGGCCAGAGTGCAGTGCTGCTGTCTTGGCTTATTGCAGCCCCCACCTCCCGGGTTCAACTGATTCTCCTGCCGCAGCTTCCTGAGTAGCTGGGATTACAGGCATGTGCCACCATGTCCAGCTAGTTTTTGTATTTTTAGTAGAGACAAGGTTTCACCCTGTTGGCCAGGCTGGTCTCGAACTCCTGACCTCAAGTGATCCACCCGCCTCAGCCTCCTAAATTGCTGGGATGCCACAGGCATTAGCCACTGTGCCCGGTCGAGCTTTGAGAAGGATCTTTAGATAAACCTCAGAACACAAAACAAGAGGCAGAGACAAGAGAACCAGAACTAGAGCCAGAGTTCTTTCTCTTTCTGTATGTATGGCATAGCTTCTTGGCATTTCAGTAAACAAGAAACTTCCAGAGCCATATGCCCTTCATCTTCTCCAGGATCCACATCAGTGACAGTAAGAGTGAAAATGATTATCTTTAGCAAAATTCTTTTCCCCACTTTGTGAACTAAAGTTGTTTATGTATGTTGTAAATTATTAGGAAAAAAAAGAAAGAATCCTGTACAAGTGTTTTTAAAATGAAGTTGGAATTTTCTATTCTGTAGTCCTTGCCTAGTATTTTTTAATTTGGTCATACTCCTTGTGAAGTTCTTAGTTCTGATAGGTTTTGCTATTTTAAGAATATCACTTACATGACTGCCCTATTTCTAGCACATTCAAAAAAAGATACTCCCATATGGCCTCTCTTAAAAAAGAAAGTCCTGATTAAGAAGCAACTTCTTATTACTTCTGAAGATTTTCATGGCTGCTGCATCTGAGATATTATTCTAAGCTAACAGGTTGTCAGTCACATTTTTTTTAGATAACTCCTTCAGTCATTTGTCCATCCAGTATATACTGAGCACCTTCTTTATACCAAGCCTTGTTTTAGGTTCTGGGGATACAGCAGAAAGAACCATTGCCCTCGTGGAGCTTTTACTCTACTCCTTGCTAAGTCTGTGCAGCCCACAGGGCAGGTGTAACATCATGAGGCTGTTGCTGCTGAGCCATCTTTCCATTTAATCCACCTTGAGTCACATGTTAACTTGCAGGTCCGAATATTCAGCCAAGAATGGAGTAAAGAGGAAATCGAGGCTTCTGATGCATGATGTTTATATTAGTTAATTCATTGGTTCAGCAAGTATTTATCAGGAGCCTACTTTTAGCACCGATTGTGCTAAGTGCTAGTAATGCAAAGATGAATAAGACATAATTTTTGCTGGGTTCAGGAAAAGGAATAAACAGTAGATACATGCAAGAAAAGAGAGATGTTTAAGTGGTGGCAGAAAGGAAGCTGTGATGTATTCAGGGTATCTACAGTGTCTTAAAGAATGCATGGTGCAGAGCAGGTGCTCGTTAGTGTTTACTGAGTGGATGAAAGGATGAAGCTCAGGTGCGTGCACAGACATACGTACACACAGATGCATACGTTACATACGTATGGAATTGTCTTGCCGGGAGGTTCCGGGCAGAGGATGTAGACTGTGTAAATGGCGTGGGAAAGCATATTTGGAATACAGATCAGCCCAGCAGGGCGTCTTTTTGACCTTTTAGGAGTGACTTTAGCAGTGGTTATCACTTTTGCAGGTGTGTAGTGAAACTTTGTGTCTTGAACTGTAGTTCCAGGCACGTAAATCTGTGATCCGGGGTCTACTAGTGACTGACCAGTTGTCTCTTCTCTTCCGCCTCCCAGAAGCACAGGCACACCATCCCCTCTTTCCCCAATGCCTTCTCCTGCCAGCTCCGTAGGGTCCCAGTCGAGTGCTGGCAGTGTGGGGAGCAGTGGTGGGATGGCTGCCACCATCAGCACCCCAGTCACCATCCAGAATATGACATCTTCCTACGTCACCATCACGTCCCACGTCCTTACCGCCTTTGACCTTTGGGAACAGGCCGAAGCCCTCACAAGGAAGAATAAAGGTAAATCAGCGGCTTTGTGGTGGTAGTTACTGGGGTATGGAGATTGGGAGGAAATAACACGGGCTTATATTTTAAGTTCAGTTTATTGGAGAGAAGGAAATATGTAGCTGTTTTATAGCTGTTTTACTTTAATCATATTTTCTCCATTCTACCTCATAACCTAGTTGCATTTATTCCTTGAGCTCTGTGGCATGAAGCTGAATTTCTGTGGCTAGTTCTTAGCAAAACCAAAATAGAAGTGACTGTAGCACTTTGCTGCTTCTGAAATTCTGCTGTCATTATTTCAGCCTGAACTGAAATGCTTAGCTGAAAGGCAAGGCAAATGAAGAAGAGGAGTCGCTGGCTGTTCCTAGGCTCAGCACGTTGAGCTATGAAGTAGCATAACCCAAATGCTGAGATTATTATTTGTTTTTAGTATATCTTAAGAAAGATAGTAGCTACAGTATGAGAGAGAGAGCATAGTAAACATTCTTGAGGCTTGTTTGGGGAAGAAGACCTTTGGAGAAATGAAAGGTTTAGGAGAGTTGGAGCCAGCCGGCTGTAACCACTTACTTTCCAAAGGCTCTTAGGGCCTTACCTGTCTTTTCAAGCTAATAATGCTTTTAACATTTTTTTGTTGTTGTTAATGCATCCTGTGAGGCAAGGTATAAATTTGGTGTTTTGCAAGTGCCAGCCATTGTGCTAAGAATTAGGAATTCAGCTCTAAAGCAAACCTGGTTTGTCATCTGGTGGAGAATTAGCAAGCGATTACAGTAGACTGTGATTTGTTTGCTGTGATAAAGTGCAGAATATTGTGGGGACGTACCTTCTGGAATCTTAAATTTTTGTTTCCATTTTAATTTTTGTTTGTGCTTGTCTGTTTACTTGGTTTTTGTTTTGTTTTTGCAGAATTCTTTGCTCAGCTCAGCACAAATGTATGCACCTTGGCCCTCAACAGCAGTTTGGTGGACCTGGTGCGCTATACACGACAGGGTTTTCAGCAGCTACAAGAATTAACCAAAACACCTTAATGGAGCCCCAGGTTGATTCAATGCCTTGGGAACTATTTTTGCACATTGGAAGCCTCAGAAACAGTCCAGACATTTGTCTCATCAGGACACCAAACTCTAAAACAGAAGCACCATGAGATGGCCAGGACATTTGTCCACTTAAACTCTCAACAACTGTGTGATCATTGGTCGGACACTATGGTTATGCAGAAGCAGAGATGAGGAGGCTGGCCCCAGAGATGATCTTCCCTTCCTGACTAAAGGACAGAAGTGCAATGTAGCTTAAATGGGTGTATGAATGGTCTAGAAACATTTCTGGTTTTTTTTTTTTTTGTTTTTTGTTTTGTTTTTTTTTTTAAACCAGTAGGATCCAAGTTGCAAATGAAATGAGGAGAAGCAATTTCAACTCTGAAAGTGAATTCACATCATCTCAGTAGCCACACTAGTCCATTCCCAGAAGGAATTTTTTTTTAAACAATGACTTTTGGTGGAGGGTTTTGTGGATGTTCTCTTTTTCTTTTAAGTTTTGGGAGAAGTGTTTGTTCAGTAACTTCGAATGGCCATCTGTCAACCATAAGTTGTGAAGGACTCCACTGTGCCCCACTTTCTGCCAATGAACAGTGGCTTGATAATACCAAGTATTGTTGTAATTGATAAAATTGAAGGCAACCCCCGCTCCCGCCGCCCCACATCCCCCCATTGCCTAGAGTGCTGCACGTTCACCACAGCTCTGACTTCTCTGTTTCTGTGCTGAAAGTCAGCCCACCTCAGAGCGGCGAGGAGGAGCACGTGGGGTGCTGCCTCGTGGTCTGCACGGGAGGACTTGGCACTGCCATTTCCCACCCCTGCTTCAGCAAAAGGGACCCTCTAACAGGGCAGTCACTGTGGACTCTGTCTGAATATCCTACCTTGGGGAAGAAGGGAACCAACATTTATACCTGACCAGATGGCTAAAGTGCTTTTAAAGTTTTAAGTAGAGCTGGAATTTGAGGTACTGATCTGTGGTCTCCAGTTACGTGGTACTCATGTTGTCCAGCCAACTCAGAGTTTCATCAGTGAACAAGAAAAATGAAATCTTCTTAGAGAGGCTATATTTTTCTGCTACAAATTATTTTATATTTATAGCAAAACTAGACTTTGAGAGTCCTTGACTGTCTAGGGGAAGTTAACTCCCTAAGAGGTTGTAGAGATTTTGGGGTGGTTAATTAGACTTTTGAAAAAATCGTCACCACATGCCTTCACTCCAGAGTGTCCTCAGCTAGATTTGATTTGGTTGAGGAGTAACTGTGGCCCTTCGCGAGTTATTGCCGTAGTGAATACATTAAACCAAGTCCGTTTTGAATGACCTAAAATAGTCAGAAATCCCATGTGCCCATAAGCACAGACTTTCTTTTTCATTGAAACTTTGAAGGTTATTATTGGAAACGTTATTTTGAGTGCAGTATTTTTAAAAGCCAATTCTTTTTTATCCCTTTTAGAGGTAGAATTTGCACGTGTTACAATTGAGGAGTGTCGTCTCTGTAACTAGCTTTTCTCCACCTTTGCCGCATTCTGCCCCTCTGTGTTTCCTACCAGGCGTGTTTCCCATTTTCCTATTGGTGGGGGAGGGAGAACCATCTTTATTTATAATGAAGACCTCTGAGATCCCTATGACAAATGCAGGAACTCTCTTGGTAGTTTGTAAATATACAAAGGGATATTTGTTTCGAGGGACAGGAGCAATGCTTATCTCACAGTATGAGTGGTCTGTGTGAGGCTGTTCCTTCAGTTTCTTCTCCAGACTGTTCTTTGGTTAACACTAAGTCAGGGGTCTGATGCCTCATGTTTAGGTGAAAGCTAGAGAATGACAGCTGTAGCAATATCTGAGCATAAGACCTTGAAGCGTGATTCTTGATGACTGGTTTCATTTATTGATGTTCTAAAGCAAAGCCCCAGTCCTTTTTAAACTACTTGTTTAAAAAAAACTGTGTTAAATGAGTAATTTCCTGGTAGGTTTTGTGTGTGTGTAGCATTGTGTGTCCATCTCTTATATGTAAGGGACAAGGCACCAGAATCAGGCTTTATTTCGATGTTGAAGATGTTATTTAACATGTTTCTTTTTTCCTTACTCCCTTAGCCATCCCCTCCCCTTTTGTCCCATCATTCCCTAGGACAAGCCACCTGTCAGGTGTTCTTTATGGCAGGTTCTATCTATGCAGAGTGTGCCAGAGCGTGTGCATGTTCTGTTGGCAAGCCACAGTGCTCCTTTGACTGAAGACATTTCCAAGTAGATTTCTCAGCCAGCTCTAAAACAGATTGCTTTTTCAGTGGCCTTACTCTTTGTGGATTTTTTTTTCCTGAACTTGATATAAAGATTTTATTTGTCCCTTGAAAAAGTAACAAATGTGCATAGATCAATTTGTACTACTTTGGTCATTGGATATTTCTGGTCCTTATTGCATTGTACCTAAAAGAGAATAACTGATGGTAACCTTTTTAATAGAGTATGTGAAAGGTAGTGGCTGATGAATCCTTAATGCTCATAGGGTCTTTTTCCTGTTACAATTATAAAGAGGTCTAAAGGATTTTTAAAATCATTTGCACTTTTTCACTGCATGCTTACAATTCCCAAAGGCAGAATCTGTCCTGAGGTAGATCATTTGAAAGGGCTAGATTATAAAATTAAGCCTTTGAATATGCAAAGTTCTTATAACAGTAGTACACACTTCACAGTAAGACAAATGCAAAGCATCTTAAGGAGTGAAAACAGAGCGTAAATGTTGCCTTTGGCACTACAAGGGGTTTGTGTGTGTGTGTGTGTGTGTGTGTGTGTGTGTGTGTGTGTGTGTTTGAATACACATATTCTTATGTATCTTTAGTAGAAAATGGAAGAACACTGTTTTATTTTTTAAAGTGTTGAATGTTCCTGTCCTTTTTGTGAATTACTGAACTTAAGAACCCTGCTAAATAATGGAAAAACACTTTACTAAAATTTACCAGATTATACTGAGTTTGGATTGTGAAAACATTGGCCACCTAGTAGCAGTGGTGAGGAGTGGGAGGGTCTAGCAAGCATTTATCAGAAATAGAATCACATTAGGAGGAGAATTGGTCCGATATTATGATTTGATCACAATACTCAATGGGGAAAGCATCTAATATTTTGTAACAAAAGGACCTTTATATATCTGTTTGGACCAACACATGTAGCTATTTCCCCTAGGCAAATTGGACCACACTTATTTCCCTTGTCTTGTATCCTTTAATATCAGATCTCAGGATATTTAGAAAGCTAAAGCCCCCTACCCGTTTCTGGTGGAAAGCTTGCCTTATTTGGTACCTTGCATGTTAATGTTACTAGCATCAGGAGCTTACTATTTTATTATTCATCTTCAATAATTTTTAGAAGCAAAAAGAAAACCACTGTGTCCTCCACAATCAACAACACTGTTATCTCTGATACACAGAAGGACACATACCCTTACACAGAAGCAGCAGCTGATTGAATTGTGCCTTGGACTGGATCTGGTTTTGAAGTACTGCTCTTGGTTTCTTGCCATGGCTTCAAGGGATGTTACATGGCTCCTGCACCTTTTACTCCTCTGCTTTATGAAGTTTGAGTTGTATTTGTGCATCTTAAGGTAGATTAAATAAGGCTTGAGGCTGGCCTTTTTTGTTTGTTTGTTTTAATGTACTTTTGAAAAATCTGCTTGTTTCCTACCACAGATTCTTTATTTTTCCAAACACTACAAGAAAACTTCTAAAACTTTGCCGCTTCATCTATTTACACGCATTGCCACTGAATAGCAGTATTTAAATCTTGCAAGAATATTTTGTCCTTCCTTTAGAAACACAAGAGTATAGATTTTTTTCTCACTGAAAAGTGAGAGTTACGCATTGCAGCCATGGAGGGATGCCAGGATTAATTATGACAGTACCTTTTTTTCTCCTCCTGTTCTTGAGCTGGTTGCCTCTTTTGTTTTGGGTCCCACTTGGGATTAATGGATATAAGGCATTTTGTGTCACTGTGTTGGAAGAAGTTGTAATGGCAGAATAGCATAGCGTTGGGGGTTTTCCTCCAAACATTGCGAGTGGTATTGCCACCATGTGAACCTCAAATATGCAATCCAGTTGTGTTGGTTTCTCGCTGACTTCGAGTGTACATCTCTTCATGAATTGTGAGCACGCTGACCATGTTCTTTAGTTCTTATTTATGGTGAGTTGACAAGTACCAACCATTGCTTTTCTTTAGGTGGCTATACATTTCTTATTGTCGGGGAAAATCACACTATATTCTGTTCCATTGAGTGTCAGAGATCAGCAGGCACTGTGCTGGGTAGAGAGGTGCCTATACTCCTCCACCTAAGAGAGCAGGAGGGAAATCCTACAGCTCCTTGAGCCTGTATATTAATTATGTCGGCCTGGGGAGGACAAGGGAATAAGACCACTCAGTGAGGCTGGCCAAGCTGCACTGGTCGGACCAGGCAGTGGCTGGCTTAAGGAAGACAACTTGCTTTGCTTAAAAGTCAAAATGTTTAAGCAATGCTTAACACAGGCAGTATTAACTTCACCTTTTGTTCAGGCCATCAGCATGTATTGTTAAAATTACTGCACATCCCCCCTCAAATATCAAGTATACACTGTTCATGTTGGGGTGTGTGTGTGTCTATGTACGCATGTGTCCCAAATCTTGTTTTAATTTTTTTTTTTCTGAATGTGATCATGTTTTGGATGATATCTGAGCAGGGTTGCCTTTTTTTTATTTATTACCATTATATATTATATTATATTATATATATTTTTGCTTTCTTATAACTTTGGAGGAAAGTCAAATCTTGGTATTATTAGAACTGTTTTAAAAAGGAGTAAATTGTCCAGTTGATAAATGAAAATCACTGGTCTATCTTTAAAATAATGAGTTTTTCTTTAATTAACTGTGGAATAATGTGCCAGCTATCATCAACACAATGATTTTGTACATAGGTTAGGGAAGCAGTGATGCTCTCAATGGGAAGATGTGCAACAGAAATTAAGGGGAACTCCATATATTTTACCTACTTCAGCAATGGAACTGCAACTTGGGGCTTTGTGAATAAAATTTAGCTGCCTTGTATAGTCGTTTGAAAGAGAATATGTGATCTGTGAGAGAATTATAGTTTTTTTAGAAGAAAAATATGCAAAAGATCTTTCCAAAGACAATGTGCCACAGATCTTTTGTTCTCTGTAATGAGGATTAATTGCTGTTTAAACAAAAATGTAATTCATCTTTAAATTCTTTCCTTTTCATAAGAGGATCAAGCTGTAAAAAAAAAAAAATTAATAAAAATTTCAAGAAATCATTGTGGTTGAATCCATGCTTTCCCTTTACCTGAATACAGTAATTCTTACTACCATTATCTATAGCCAAGGAGTTTCATGTTAACAGTATGCCTTTATTCACAATATTTATTGCTGAAATGGAGAAAACTGTGTTTGGAAGGCAGCTTATCCTTCTGTTCAGTTTATCTCTTAAGGTCATAATCAGATACAAATTGGCCTAACATCACCTGTATGGCTTCTTATCCTAACATCAACTGGAGCATGTAGCAGTGACCAAATTTGCCCATTTCCAAATTTGCTGGGTAGGCAGGTTTGTAGAATGTTAGTATTGAAAGG